AAAAAAATTGCGCTCATGCAAGTCCAGCTGTAGACCGAGTAATGTATTTTATGTAATGGAGTAAAGTGTGACGCGTGACGTTTCACTGCATAAGGCAGCAAGAAGATGAAAATAAAAAAAAGAAAAAAAAAAGATTTTTCCTTTTTCTACTTACATTTCGAAATCCGTTTTGATTTATTCCAATTCTTTGTTTATATTTTGTTAAAATAAATACTCCGCACCATATTTTCAAGCAGAAAATTTGAAAAGGAAAAAAAACAGAGTAAAACGTATGCAAAACCATATAACACTTTTTGTGTTCTGTCAAAGTCATCACTTTGCTGGATCAACTGCAAATTCACAGTGAACCGAAATGGAATTTTCTTTCGTTTTCATTGGCATTATGAATGGTCATCGTTTGTTAAAAGAATTTGAATATATTCAGGCGCTATCCGTTGCATTTTCAATCTAAGGCTTAACTTCATGTTTTATTCAAATGAATTTTGCAAATTAATTCGAATTAATTTCATTTGCATGATGATACCTGAATAGAACACTTTGATTTCTTCATTAAATCGTTGCTGTAGTGAAATGAATTAATATAGATTGATAACTAATTGTATAGAAAAAACGTAAAATGACATTTTGAACTGTAAATACTTGATATATGGTTCGTTTAAGCAGAGAAATATTGAAATGAGTAAAGGTTGACCCTTTGAAGTCAGTATTCAAATAATACACATCGGTCAAATGAAATTTGGTGGCAAACAAGCGACTGAAAAAAATATTGGCTGTATTTCGGTCAACAATGCCCGGTGCATGGACAATATGTTCTTACATATTGAAGTGACAGTGCGAATTTGATTAAAAACTTTCCCACGGTTGAAAATTCCTACTCGGCCGAAGGTCAAACATTTTATGAATTGATTTATTCCCTTAAATAGCTTAACGAACAATTTTGGTCCTTGTTTCAAAATAAAAATACAAAAAATGATCGAAAACAATCCATTTTTACTTCGCAAATATTTGATTATTTCTTCTGGAATTGTCGTTGTTCTATTTGAAGTGGGTTTTCATTAGTCACTTCGATCACAAGATGGGTTTTCACACGAATATCTTCAAATTTTAAATTGGTAGTGAACTTGAATCGCCTTAACAGATGAGCCAGAGTAATTTTGGCCGAAATCATAGCGTATTTCATTCCAATGCAATTTCTTGCTCCACCTGAGAATGGAATGTAGCTGAACGGTGGTCGTTTCGCAACATTTTCGGGTAGAAATCTGTCTGGGTTAAATTCAAATACATTTTCTCCCCAAATCTTTGGATTCCGGTGCAAATGCATGATATTTATCAACACCATTGAGCCTTGCGGAACAGTTCCTTTACGCAATTCAATATCAGCGGAGGGCTTTCGTACAATGAATGGAACTGGAGAGAGCAGACGCATTGATTCTTTGATAACATGATCCATATAATGCATAGCGCTCGAATGAGTTTGAGAGACGTCACAATCGGCCGACTCAAAAATCGATCTCAGCTCTTCAACAACCAACTCTTGATGTTTCTGATTGATGGCCAACATCAACAAGGTACCGAATATAGTGATCGACGAAGTATCGATGCCTGCGAGAATAACAACCCGCATTTGATCCAGAACGTTTTCACTATTTAAAATGCCCTCTTGTTCCAAAATCAAGCATTTTTCGAGGAAGTCGGCCGTATTTTGCTCCTTCACTATTTCTAAGCGATCGATTCCTTGCGTTTTAAGTGATTCCAATTCATTCACCTTCCCATTGTAAATTTCATCTATTACAAGATTACCATCCCGAAGTGGGATCCGTCCGTCGCGACCTACTTTCGACAAGTTGTACATAAAATCCCATCTTAACCAAAATCGAGTAATTCGGTATTGAACGTTGGTCATAATCAACTTGACGGTTTCGTATAAAAATGCGCCCCGCTCCGATTGCAGGCTCATTTCAGTTCCCATCGTTGTTCTTGCAATCATATCTGTATTGGATATATGAATTTTAGCACAAATCTAAAACGAATTTGCAAAAATAATATAGTGAAGTACCTATCATGCAGATGAATATGGTTCGATACAAATCGCCTGCTTCACTGAGAAATGGTTCCATCTGCTGAAGCAAAATGCGCGATTTATCGTTCAACTGTGGTATGTAACTTTGTAATACTTTCACACTGAATGCTGTATTCAATGCACGACGCTGTGGCTTCCAGATTTCTCTGTCCGTAGCAATGATCGAAGTTTTACAATGGAATTGATCGTAAAAATATGGCTTGTTCAGACAGTCATCGCTTGTTAAAATAATCTGAATATCTTCTGGTTCACAAATTCCAATGACTAAGATTGGCCCTAACCATGCTTTCCATGGTGTTGTTTTAACTTGCTTAAACATGTTAAGTACTATATCGATAATTTGATCATTCGGCTTCCCAATAAAACGACCAGCGACACCAAGAATCGGTATTTCTTTCGGTGACTCAAAATTTCGTAG